ACACAATGGAAAATAGCTGGAGTGAGACTGTGCAGTTGTGTGTCCTCACGCCATGTCAGCGTCCTGGCTCCCTAGAGTGCTAGAAGTTATAAATACTAGGAGCAAAAAGAGCATTTTAGTGTGGCTCAGGTAGTAAGGCAAGAAGAAACAGGACTTGGTCTGGATACGAATGAGCAAGTCAACAGAGGAGGGGCTAAACTCAACCTCTGGAAATGTATTAAAGTAAGCATGTAACAGACTGTGAGCACAAATTACATGAAGCTTTCTTAAATGCTTCACACAAATTAAAGGATGTCACACACACTGCAGCGCTGATTGTTGTTGAACATTAAACCATAAGTAAGGTGTAGGAGAACCTAGGCTGCCTCAGGTCACAGAAACCTTGCATGCAGCTGAAGCAGCAGTTGTGTAGAATGTAGGATGTATGTATATAGTATGTAGTATGCCATTGTGTGGTATGTAGGATGTTTTCTCCATTTGTTACATTCCATAAAACATTTCTATCTCCTCGTCCCATCTTCCTGCCTGACTTACAGTGCATTCCAGCAGCCAGGGGTATCTTAGGATCATTTATGCATGCTCTGTAGCCCCTCGGTGGCTCTTCATGTATCATGTTTCCATTCGGTATCTTGTATTCATGGGAAACTTCACCTTAACCAGCTATTATTCCTGACAGAGCAGAGAGCCAAGTGTGAGAATGCTTTCCAGTCTTCATTTGCAAGTGCATGATTACTGTCCATTCTGCTCAATCTGGCCTTTTCAAAGGCAGTTGGGCTCAAACTGGCAGAATAATCACTATGGACATAATACATGATTATGCCTGGCCTTTGTCTGAGCGAGGATTAGGGAGATAAATCAAGACATTGGCTTGGACCTCAAGAACCAGTCACACAGAGACCACTGGCAAACATACCTAGAAATGTAGGTTCTACAACAAAAGTATAACAAGTGGCCAAGGAAATTGATTCCGGGAGAATCACAGAACGCAAGGAAAATGCTGTTTAAATTGAGTTATCTTAGATATACAAGATTTTTCATTAGGGAATAACCACCTAGTCCAAGGCACAGAAAGAGTGTGAAGTATATAGATAACCTGAATGAACAAGCCAAGGTATCAGGATGGGACACATTTTCTGCTTGGGAGAGCAGTATTCAGGCAGAGAAGGCAGGCCTGGCTTACCAAAGTCCTTGCTGGGAAGGTGTGTACCAGGCCTTCTATAGGCCATAGAGACCTTGTAGGAATTTGTGTTCCTAGATCAGGTTTCTGTTAGGAGCATAACACAGGTACTGTGAGGCCCTTGGTGAGCTCAGCAGGCTCCTCAGGCAGTTCTTCTGCGGAGGGCCTTCAACACACACTACACAACACGGCCTCATGCTCTCCCCTCTCTGGGCTGCTCAGGCCTAGGAAGCTGTACATTCTCATTCCTCTACTACATAGAACAGCTCTCCACCCCATAAACTCTCGGGCCCAGTCCATGCTCGAAACTGCATGTTCTGTGCTAAATAATTATGAAAATACTCTTTTGGACAGAGGCCTTGCTAGGAAGCTATTTTATCCTTTAAGCAGATATGAGAGGTGGCACCGTCTTCTCATATCTACAAGTACAATACCAGCAACGCCCAGAACTTTCTACATAATACGAATTGTCTATAAAACATAACTGTGCTTGAGAAATTTGATATTCCCAAAATCATTTCAGCATTCAACATCCAAAGTAAAAATAACTATGAACACTTCATTAAACCTGTTTTTGTAAAAAATGGTTTATTTGTTATAAAATATTAAATACTAAAGCTAAAAACATATAAATTCAGGTCAGGCTATATTAAAATACATACATACCCTTTGCAAAATCTGATTAAAAGTTGAATTAAACAAGATGCTTTAAATAAAATAATTATTGAAGACATATTAAACCTAATTGGTTATATCAGTGTAGTATCATTGGTAAAATTACAGTTGAAAAATTTGGCCATCTTGGAAGTCAAACCCATCTGATTCCTCAGTCTGCCAGTATCATGAGGAAGCCTCAGTATGACTCACACAGGGGTGGGCGTCAGTCACCAGCCAGTGCTCTCTATTAGAATCCAGTCCCCTGTAGTAGAACAGGGAGAAAGTAGCCAGTAGCATACAAGGGATACTTAATATGATGCAAACCTGGTCCTGAAAGAAGGGGCCTTACTTCTACTACTCAGTATCCTCTAACTAAAATGCGTGGTAAATATACTGAAGCAGAAAATTTGCATACAGCCATCTAGAAATAATCCTTTGATTGGAAAACAACCCTGAAAGCCAGCATGAATTTAATCATGATCATTTTAAGTATTTGAAAATTCTCGTTACTTTCAATTGGGTGAATTCCACAGTACTGAGGGGTCTGCATTCAAATGTGCTTAAGAACTCACGTCTATTCTGCCCCAGTCACTGTCACAAGTAGTGGGGAAACACTCGAGACCTCGCGTTTCCAAACTCAGCTCCCACTCAGGAGAGCACCCTAGAGGAACTAGCTAAATGTCAACATAGTATTTCCGAGAAAATGCTTTGTTTCTCAACTCCTATTTTTCAATTTCCTAAGCTTTTAGAATTTTAGTTGCTGTGATCAGCAGAGGGTGAGTATGTGCGTTCAAGTATCAAAGGGCTACCATTGGGACTACCATCGCACAGGACCTTCTAGGTACCGTTGCACTAACTCTTCTTTACAATGCTAAGCCACCAAGCAGGATTTGCCAATGGGTGTGTAACTTAAAATGCAAAATCCAAAATGCATTCCCATAATCTTCATTGACACAGCACAATGAAAATGAGCGTTCTCTGGGATCTAGCTGCAGGAGCTTTTCCCCTTTACTCTAACAGCATTGGTATGCATAGAAGAGTTTCCCGTATGCCACCCTAACACTACAGGATGAGACTGCTGAATCAAACTTTTGGAAAGTTGGAAAAATATGCATCCTAAAATCACTGGAAATTAGGACACTAGATCCCAGTGCTAAATTACAGATGCCATGTTAGCACTGAACAGCAATCTGTACTGTCCATGCCCAAGCTGTGCGCATTCTGCAGAATCATTTCTGCAAGCACGCGATATAAGAGAACTAATTGGCCTTCCCAGGCCACAATGTTTCTCCATTTAGCAGGCCTGATTTACATCCTTTTTTTTAAAAAAAAAAAAAAAAAAAAAAAAAAAAAAAAACCTTCTTAGGTGGCTTTGCTATTTCATACCAGATGGCCTTTCATTCCCTGGAAAGAACTCAATTCAAGTCACTGGTATCCTAATCTTAAGGGATACATTTAAAAGAAAGAATACTTAAGCTTTTGTACCCAAATCTCTAGAAGGCACATTGTCCTGTGATTATCTCTAAAACTTTATTTGGTCAGCCTACTCACTCAGTCTTATCAACTTCCTGGCTTTACATATCGATCAAGAAAGTATTGTTCTGGGATGGAGCTAGAAGTGAGTTAGTGTCCCAAAGTCAGCCAAAAGTATTTCTTACTGCCAGGAGAGGTCACTGCGGAGGCACTAGGCGGCACAAATGTCCCCAAAGGTGAGCATCTCCACTCTGCTCTCCCAGCGTCCACAACTTGTTCACAACTCTTCGGCTGCTCACTCTTTGGAGTGAGGTTTGAATAAGAAAAAAAGCATTTTAATGACCTCATCTAGCTGTGATGCAGGCAAGGAGCCCAGTCCTGCCTCAACTCGATGTGCCATGCTTCCTTTGTTCAAGCCCACAGGAGGCCTGCCCCTTTCTCCAGGGAGACAGAGGAGAAGTGGATGGGGAGGGGGATAGATGGGAGTTGAGGGAGGGAGTGGGAGGTTAGGAAGGAGAGGAAAATGTGGTTGATATGTAAAATAAGTAAAAAAAAAACAATTAAATAAAACAAAATTTTTTAAAAAAGGCATGTTCAGACAGGCATGGTGGCATATGCCTTTAATCCCAGCACTCCAGAGGCAGAGGCAGGCAGATTTCTGTAGGTTCAAGGCCAGTCTAGTCTACAAAGCAAGTTCCAGGACAGCTAGGGCTGTTACACAGAGGAAACCCTGTCTGAGAGAGAGAGAGAGAGAGAGAGAGAGAGAGAGAGAGAGAGAGAGAGAGAGAGAGAAAGAAAGAGAAAGAGAGAGAGAGAAAAACAGCATTTTCCCTCAATAGGAATTTTGGGGAGCCAATGCAAAGTGAAAACACGGGACTCTTCTTTCAAACCTTTTAAAGAATTTAACAATGTACTAGCAGAGCCCTAAACAAATGCCAGGCCTTTCTAAGTGTGGGAGCTGCAGAATCCAGAAGGTTACACTCCAGTAACTGCTAGCCCTAATTGGGTTTGTGGCCGACTGGCAAGCAGATGTGGTTGCATGGACCAGATTGGGCAGCTGTTCTTCATTATATCGATTCAAACATGCCTACTGAACTGGAACCAGCTGGTGTGTGATTGACAGATGGCAAATTCCTATTCCTAAAACTTCACGCTGCACTCCCCCACATTCACAGCTACACTTGGCTTTTAAGTGGCCCTTATTTTAGCAGAGCAATCAGTCCGAGATGATGAAATTTTTGTATTTCATCATGATATTTTTTAAAATTAAACATCTCTTAATGAGGAGAAGTTTAATGCTATTAAAGCAATGGGGCACCTAGAGGAGAAGCCACTGTCCAAGAGTTTTATATTCTGGGCGAAGCATTAAAGTCTGCAGACGACTGTGCTCCTTTAAGACCATCGCAGTTCTTCACAGCTAGCTAACAAGAAGCTATATGGTGTTTTTTTTTAAAATGCCATACTGATTCAATTACAAGAATTTTACTGGAACCCAGAGGTATCCATTCTTCATAACAGTAAAAAAAAAAAAAAAGTGTATCTATACACAAAAGCTCAGGTCACATGACTAAACAGCGACATTTCCGGGAGTGGATATACTTCCTGTACTCTGCCAACTGCTTCAAGTATATGTTTGACGGCCATCTGTGCTTTTCAACAAAACTTCGTTCTTCCACTGAAATTTTAAGGGAAAAAAGTTAATTACATATATTTTATTTATTTATTCTGTCAAGATGAAATACAAACATTTGATTGTTAAGTGACAGAGCACCCTTATATCCCCCACCCTTCCAGAATCAGTCAGAATCTGGATAAAAGCAGCCATCAGGATTTACAGCACTATGCGGTTAGTGCTGACGTACACTGCTCCCGCAGGTGGTATTTGGCTGCTTCCAAACTTTTCTCCTTCAATACAATGTTTGCTTTCACTGGAGATAACAAATCCATTTTTCTTTGTGGATAAGCTGACCTTCCACACTCTATAAACTCGCCCTGACTCTTCCCCTCCAGTCATGCACCAGCTAACCTACTCACTCCCCATGGTATTCCCTGCTCCGTAGTCTACTGTACTGCGAGTTCCTGGTCTTCGGGCTCCTCTAGCCCCCTGTACACCATGCACTCTGGATTCACTTCCATAGAAACCTGACCAGTCCGGCCCTCACCCTAAGCTTAGCTCCACCCAGAGTCTACAAATCTATGACTTGTTGGGCTTGAATTTCTGAGCTTCCCATTTCCTATAAACGTTGCCTGCACTGGTAGGGAGACCCCTCTTTAGTCAGCATTTAAGAATTTCACTGTTGCAACCCCAGGCTTCATCCTGCCTCAGGCACACCTAGTACTTTAAACATTTATGGGTCTGGGAATCCCTCCCTTCTGTTTGATTCCTCCACCTGCTGTTCAGCTTCATGGGCACGTGGATTAACAAGGCCCTAGTTGTACGATCTAAATGACAGTAAAAAAGCTGCCTGGTCAGGGGAGTCAGTTCATTGTTTCATGAGGAAGCAAAGGTGAATGACGTGGCATTGTAATGACAGAACTCCAAACAGCATGTGGTGGCATACGCCTTTAATCCCAGAACTTGGGGAGAAGAGGCAGGCAGTTTTTGTGAGCTCCAAACCAGCTTGGTTAACACGGTGAGTTCCAGGACAGCCATGGCTACAGAGTGAGACCCTGTCTCAAACACAAACAAACAAACTCAAAATCAAAACAACAAAACTAGAACCCCAGAAAAAAAAAAACGTGACTACAGATGAGTTTTGGCAGCCAGTAAAAAACAGGACCGAAACATTACTTCATAAAACATGGACCCAAACACTACTTCATAAAAACATACCGCAATACTTAGCTAAATTAAACCTATCATGAGAAAAGGGAATTCACCAACATCAAGGGTCAAATTTTCCTGTATGTTGCTACATATCTTCTTAAGTGTCTAGTGTAGGACTGGAGAGATGGCTCAGAGGTTGAGAGAGAGAGAGCACTTCTTGCTCTTTGAGAGGACCCGGGTTCAATTCCCAGTACCAACATGGCAGATGTCTGTAACTCCAAGATTTGACACTCTCACACAGACATACATGCAGACAAATCACCAATGCACATAAAGTAAAAATAAATAAGTTATATAAAAATCCCAGTCTGTTTAACACTAAGGTGGAATGAGTCGATTTCTAAATAACTTTGGAGAAATAAAGTTTCACCGGGCACTTGGAAGGCAGAGGCAGGAAGGTTAGGAGTTCAAACCTCTGCTGTAAAGCAAAGCATGAGCCAACCCAAGAGCTGTTTTTAAGACGAGAAGCAAAGGAAAGGAGCGCTATCGAGAGAAAACAAGCGTAGGATTCTGGAGAGAGCTGGAGAGCTTCCAAAGCTGACAGCTGACAGCTCCACAGGGGAGCTGTTGAGGGGATGGCAGGAGCTGCCAAACCCAAGCGGGTGGCTGGGTATACAATCACCGAAAGGGGAAAAGACTCCAGCCCTTTGGAAAGGACATGTCCCCTTTGGTGGGCAGCCACTTCTTAGTTCCAGGCTTTCCTAGAAGGAAGGCAGACCCAGGGTATCCAACTCTTTCAGATTTTCCCCTGAAGATTTTAATTGGAAGTACTATAAAAACAACATTTTAAATGGTTGCTGAAAAAAATAAACCCTGGTAGACTTGAGTCGAGTCAGAGGTTGTCCGTTCATAACTACTGATTTAGCATATTTCATAATTCTCTGCATGCTCAGAAATCTGATGCCCTCTTCTGGCTTCCAGGGGTACTGCATTCAAGTCAGGCATTTATATGTAGGTAAAATACACATAAAATAAATAAATCTATTTTTAAACATATCTGGCTGAGTATATACAGTCAAAGACCACTGCTACGACCACTCATTCCTGTGTATTTAATTCTATACTGATGTGGGGTTGGACTGTTTTACTTTGTTTTTAATTTCAGAAAACTATTTAACTTGGGTAATGATACATTTTGGGGGGTTGTTGAATCAGGGTGATATAGACAAATGCAAAGAGTCTGAGGCTCTTTTCACAGCTGATCCCCCAGTCTTCAGTACCTTCACTGACTAGTAAATGTCTCTAGAGACAGCCTAGTTCACTAATCAGATCATATAGGAGGGAAAGAACACAGGTAACAATGGGGTTCAGGAAAGCTGCTGGGATTCTCAGGATTTTGGATAACCTCTTCTGGTATATTTTGAGTGGTTAGCTGTAGAAATTCTTATGGTCTGTCCTGTTTTTTCCTCTGTCTTTTTGGAATCACCTGTCTTTCTCTGCATTGCATGTTCTCTTGGAGGGAACTGTATCTGAGTTTTCCCAGTCCTGAAACTGCTCTGGTTGTTTCTGGATTTCTCCTCATTGCCACCAAAGCAGCCACTCTAATCCCAACTCTGCTCTCCTGCCCCACAGGGGTGACTCCTACTCTAGCCTTGTCACCTCGCGAAGATTTTACTCTTCTACTGCCCACATACACTCTCTTTTATTCTGAGTTTAATAGTCAGTTTCTTCTCCCTGAAGCAGGCTGGGAATTGTATGACCATTGGTATAAATCTTGTATTGTATGTAAATGATTTCAGCTCTGTGGGACTTAAGGAAAATAAAACACAATGGATCAAGCCTGCAACATTGCTTCCACGGGGACTAATAAATTCCCAACATTTCCCAACAGCGCTCTCTCTCTCTCATCCTTTCCCCACAAACACCAACTGGACAAGAGAGTGACCTGGTTGCAGGAGGCCCTGGGTGTACTTACTGCTGACAGGCTGTGTTCATAGCACACTGTACTGGTGTGTCATCTGTATTTTAATAAATAAAGCTTGCCTGAAGATCAGAGAGTGAGACAGCCATACTGGTCAGCCACACAGACCCAGCAGTGGTGGCACACATCTCTAATCCCAGTAGGCACACTAGTTTCCCATAGAAGCCCAACGGTAGGGGAGCATGCCTTTAAATCCAGCACCAGAGAGGAATGTAAACCAAGATGAGACAGGAACTAACTCTCTTTTCAGTCTGAAGATTTCATAGAGGTAAGAGCTCTTTAGTGGCTTGACTGCTTTGTTTTTCTGATCTTCAGGTTGAACCCTAATATCTGTCTCTGAATTCTTACTAACCACGCTACAACACACAATGTTACATGTGTTATCTAGAGGTCCCACATTGAAACACCCCACAACTCTGCAGAAGTGCAGTGAGTGCCTGCAGGGTAAAGGCAAAGGCGCAGGGTACCCACATGGTCTCTGAAGGTTCTGGGTGATTATGAAGAATACTTGAAATTCTGCGTTTATTTCTGCTGTCTAAATGAACTGAGTAGTTACTGGAAAATTTTCATGGTTTTGAGGAATATGGGAGCCAGTGAGATGTTAAAATGACTCCATAACAGTGAAAACCAGTCTGTGGTTTGTATATCTGAAGTAATTGGCCCTAAGATTATCTAAAAAACTAAAAATGTCCCACATATAAAACAGAAACAAAATGATACTTATTGCACAGAAAAGAAATTATTATGCCACGTTTGTGCTCTTTTGTTTCTTGTCTGAATTTTAGAAGTTGAGGTGGATTCTCTTGATAATTTTTTAAAAGAGCAAAGACAACTGAGGGAGGGCGCCAAACGGCTGCCCACAGTCTGTTTTAAAGGAAGCATAGACACTGATCTGCAGTTGTGCATCTTCTGAGATCCAACAGGTCTGTGTGCAATGTAATCATTAGGTGCCCTGCCTGAGGGCTGAAGAGAAAGAGACACAGGGAGAAGTCAGTGTGTATTTGGTTCATGATAAGAAAGGAAAAGGTTTTCATGTGAGCATCTTGCACTGGAGTGCAGTTAGAGATGCCATTGAGGAGACCATACATTATCTAGAACCAGACTTCCATGGTCTTTACTGGGCTCAGGCAAAGCTTTGACAGGTTATTGGAAGGGAGACCTTGGCATAAGCTATTTTTGGTTTCAGAGCTCAGCCTCTGGGGCCTTGAGTCAGTTACACACCCCTGCAGTCAGCTAGCTCAGTTTCCTGGATGCTCTTATCAAAAGTAAGGGAAGCACACTTCATTAACTATAGCTAAGATTGTAGCCTGTCTTTTATACAAAGTACCTAATCTTAGACCTTGCTGTTGCCTGTCTGAATAAGAATCATAAAAGAATGGTGTAGAGAGCTGTTTTGAACTACTCCAAATTGAGTGTGTTCTTGGTTCAGATACGCACATCTGCCACACACCCTCACCAGAACCATTTTCACTTCCATGCTTTCCTGCCAGAATGTACGATCCACTCTCACACCAGGAGCAACAATAAGCCCCCGTTAAGACTACTTAACAGGGTAGTCCCAGTACTAGGAAACTGAGAAATATGTTTGCATTCATTGCCCATACTAGTAAATTTATACTTGAAACACTGAAGGCCATTTTTAGCTGCTCTACAATTTTTCTTTGAAATATTATTCAAATACATCGTGGATTTTATTAAAACACTCAAAATAACTTTTCCTGACTATAGTAGAAATTTTTGACTAATACTAATTCTATTGATGTTCTTATGAGTATATACTGAGAAACACATGAGGGTACATGTGGCTTTTCTTTTAATTTATTCTAAATAGACAGACATGGAAGCATGGAGGTATGAAGAAAATCATCAATTTCACATGCCTCGCACAGCATTCTGATCACTGTTTGCTTCCTTTACTATGTGAATGTTTAACTCATGAAATTTCCTTTCTTATTCATGTCCAAGAGCACACAGAAATATCGACATCACAATATAAAACATTTTGCAAAGTTAGAAAGGCTGATAGTCCTTGTCCATTACTCATTTTCGCTTTGCTCCGATTCTGTTGGTCTGATTGCCTACTCTGATGAACACTCCACCTTTGTGTTCTTTCCTATTACACAGTTTTATGAATCTCACTCTGTGATTGTTTGCTGTGTAGCATAGATTGGCCTTGAACTCAGGATTCTATTGCCTCTTCTTTCCAAGTGCAGGGATTATATACTTGAACTACCATGCCTGGTTGACCCATCTTAATCCTTACCATTTACTTTACTTTAAAATTATAGTATAATTACTTTCAGTTGGCAAGATGCTTAATATTTGGTCAATAAAAAACTGTTATTACAAAGTTCCTATGTAATATACACATATAGATTCTCTAAGTATTATAGATGACATATTATAATAATCAATATTTGTATTTCTATGAAAGGAAAGCATTTTAAACATATAATTCTGCTGCTGACTGACTCAAGTAACTAAAACTAAGGTCTCATTTATCACAGCCAAATGGCATGTGAGGACACTCTTCACCACCCTAACTCTCCTACCAGAAAAAAACAATTAAAAATGAATGAGTACTGTAAAATAATCATTGGAACACTTCTTGTGTAACAGGTCAGATTGCTCACGCAACACAGGTGACTGTAGGTGAAAGTGTCCTCAGTCACACAGCAGGACTGAAAAGACATGTAGGACACTTCATTTGTGTTTTTATGTCAAAGCGACCTTTTATTAATTATATCTCGAGCCTCAAACGAAGGCCATACCATTTTCATTTCAAAGCAGAAATTAGCAATCTACCTGAAAGATCTTGAAATTCAGGCTTCTGGCTGAATATGAGGTAGTTGGTGGCGATGAAGTGAAGCAGCCAGGTTGAAAGGCAGTCAGAGTGGTGAAACTACAAGGAAATGAAAAGGAAACAATGTCGTAATCTGTTCTCTGGGGGCGAGGTCGGAGGCCACACCCATGGGTGTGTCCCGTAAGCACTGCAGTGTTTGGTAGCATTATAAACACATTCTCGTCATAAATAGGAATGTAAGTTTAATCGAATATGACAGCAAGTGAAACCTGATTAGTTATTCAGGGCTTCCATGAGAGCGGAGATAACGAACCACCCCCTAAGCCAGAAGAAGCCAATCGGGGAAGCACACATCTCTGGTACGGTACGTGACAGAGTGGATGATGGATGAAAATATAGGACCCACGGCAGAGAGCAGGGCTGAGGGTGGGGAGGGGCAGAAGCGAGGGACCACTGCAACCGCTCTCCTCTAGGAGAGGACGAACCGTGTGGTAGCACAGTGATGGGAAATTTGGATCTGAAAAGCTACTGGGGAGCTTAACTCTGCGAAGATAGGAACGGGGAGGACATACCCAATTCTGACCAAACTGGGACTCTCAAACCTTCCAAGAGGAAGCTGGTATGTTTCTGTTGCTATGCTAAACACTTACGACAATCATATTATAAACAGGGAAGGTACAGCTCTAGAAGTTTCCATCCATAGCTGCCTAGCATCTTTCCTTTGAACCTGCAGTAGCAGAACAAGGCAAGCATCTTAGGCAGAGAAAAACTGTCTGCCTCAGGTTGGGAAGGAAATGAGAGGAAGAGGGAGGGGAGGGGTTTCCTACAATCCCCTTCAAGGGCACTCTCTTAAAGACATGAAGATCAGAGGCATGTGTGTGCACAACACACACACGCACACACACACACATACACTTAATAGTTAAAAAAATTTTATATACCTTGAACAAGTTTCCCTCTTGTTGACATGTTTACATCCTGAATTCCTTTATTTTTATGTTATTTAATTTATTTGGAAATAGGGTCTCATTTATCCCTGGCCAACCCCACCCTTACTGTGTGGAAAAGGATGATGTTGAATGAGCAGTTCTTCTGCCTCTACCTCTGGAATACCGGGATTCTGACTGTGCCCCTGCTGGAGATAGAGCCCAGGGCCTCCCGCTACTAACCAACTCTGTTTGTTTTTAGTGGATCCTCTTCAGACTCTGCTAACATCTTTTATACTGTATAGCCCTATTTGTGAGTAGGCAGGAGTGCATCCCACGTGGTCACTTCTTACTGGCTTAAGGCACCTTCCACAACTGCCCATGTGTTTGCTTCTCTATCAACAAGGTCTTCCAATTTGTCTTCCCCATTACTAGCTGCTGTATGTGGAGGCTGCACTTTAGTCTCCCGGCCACCCAGACCCGAATAACACAAAACTCTATTAACTACAACACTGGTTAGCCAATAGCTAGGGCATATTCCTAGCTAGCTCTTATATCTTAAATTAACCCATTTCTATTAATCTACATACCACCACAAGGCTGTGGCCTACCAGTAAGTTTCCAGTGTCTTTCTCCTTCAGCAGTTATGTGTCATCTCCAAATCTGCCTTCTTTCTCCCTGCATTCAGTTTATTTTTCCTGCCTAGGTCTATTCTGCCATGCCACCGGCCCAAATAGCTTCTTTATTAACCAATGGTAATAGAATATATTCACAGCATACAAAGAGGAATCCTACATTAAGCTGCTGATGCTCCTTAGTTTTCCACCTGAAGTTTGAAAGTTTATCATATCTACCCTAAGTTTTATTGTTTCTGCTCAAACCTAAAAAAATGTTTATTTTATTATATGTGTATGGGTGTTTTATCTGCATGTGTATCTGTATATCACATGTATGTCTGGTGCCCACAGAGGCCAATGAAGGTTTCAGGTGCCCTGGTACTAGAGTTACAGAGACCTCTACGTGGCCATTTGGGCACTGGGAACCAAACCTGAGTCTAACCTCTGCATGAAGAGGAGAAGCTCCTAATGCTGAGCTACCTCTCCAGTCACAGCTTCTCACAACAGATTTGTGCAAATTGCACGTGTTTTCTAGAATTCGTAGTAGCTACTTTTTAACAGAGAGATCCTGGGCAAGGAAAATGGCAGGAGCCAGTGCAGCAATCTTACACTTTACATTTTGCTAGATTCCTAACACAGCAAGACATGCCAGCCAACTCAACCAAAGCTGGCACCATACGACGGAGTGGTGAAAACAAGCTCATGAGATGAATGAATAGATGAAGTAGTAGCTCCAGTGACTACGTCACTCGGTGTATACAGCCTCGTCCTGCTATTCTCCTTACAGTAACTACGTCATCCGGTATATACAGCCTCGTCCTGATATTCTCCTTACAGTAATGTTAAGAAGTGATTTTTATTGGGGGGGGGATTCTATTTCCTGTAATGTTAATGTAAAAGCACAGTCTCTCTCAAGTAACTCGGATTATGACCACTATTGAAAAAAAAATATATAGACGTAATTTCTAACTCAATGAATGCTTCAGAATTACTTCACCATGGAAACTGGTGCAAAGAAACTGCAGCTTCCTTTAGTCACACTTTAAAATGAATACCAGTCTTCACATAGCTGTCAAAACACAGAAAACAAAGTGGGCCCTCCTTCCACTGACGCCCCACCCCACCCTCCACACAAGGCCAACCACCTTGGCCTTTTTGAGCAGATCCACAATGTCAAGGTTCATGGACGCCAGCTCCCTGCTGGGCATGCTCTGCAGCTGTGTGATGATGGACAGCTCACAGATGTGCTGCAGTCTGGAGACCTGGTACATCTCAGCACAGATGAGGAGACACATGGCCTGGAAAATGCCAGCTGGTGGGGAAGAAGTGACAGAAGGGAATGGTTAGACTGCGACGGCTCTCAGGAACAGCATGGCTGTGCACGCTTCACCTGTAGCCCTTGGCAGGCTGGGCAGGCGCTGCTCTGTGAGGCTGGAGTCAGTCTGGTCTACTGACTACACAGCCTAGCAAGAGCTACAACAGCAGCAGCAACAACAAAAATCCCCTCTCTCTCTCTCTCTCTCTCTCTCTCTCTCTCTCTCGCTCTCTCTCTCTCTCACACACATACACACACACACCGCTCTACTAGAATTTCAAGGAAGAGTCCATTGGCACAGTCTTAACTTGTACTACATTTTGTAAATAATTAAGCTTTCATACTCCAAAGAGAATCTCATCCCCAGCTCTCTAGAGAAGGATTCCAATAATTGCCCTTAACCAACATATAGAGCTAAAGAAATTTTTCTTTTTTTGAGACAGGATCTTACTGTGTAACTCTGACTAGGCTGGAACTGATTGTATAGACCAGGCTTGCCTTGAATGCCAAGAAATCTGCCTGCCTCTGCCTCCCAAGTGTGTGCAATAAATGCTAAACTTTTCTATTAGTTACACTACATCTCATTGTATCCTCTTTATCCATCCCTATCACAATGCCAGGCTCTCACATATCACAGGCTAGTCTTCAACTCCTTATACAGTGATCTATTTGCCTCTACCCTTGCATGCTGAAATCACAGGTGTGTACAATTATGCCCAACATACTGCACTGTGGATCGAATCCAGGGCTTCCTGATGAAAGGCAAGCACACTACGATTTGAGCTACATCTTCACTTCTAACTTTTGTTTTTTTTTTAGTCCCCAGGCCTTCAATTTTGTTTCACTATTGCAAAATAAAAAAAAAAACTAGAATTTTAAATGTATGTGTGTGTGTGTACAAGCACCTCTGTGTCTACATGCCTATGGTATCTGTATATGTGCGTGCATATGGTATCTGTTTGTATGTGTATGCATGCATATGCTATCTGTGTGTGTGCATGCATATGTTATCTGTGTGTTTGCATGCATATACTATCTGTGTGTGTGTGTGCATTTGATATCTATTTGTTTGTGTCTGTGGAGGCCCAGGGTTGATGCTAGGTGTCTTCCTTCATTGCTGGCCACTCTATATTGAGACAGGATCACTAACAGTTTAGCCTGCGACCCAGTTTTCTCGGGAATTGCTATGGGGATTCCCTCTCTCCACCTTCCATGGTGCTGGGATTACAGCAGGGCTTCAATGCCTACCCCACTTTTGTTCTGGAGATGAGACTTACACAGTTCTTACACTTGGCGTCAAGCACTTCACTTGATGAGCAATCTCTTAAGTCCCATTTTAAAACACTAAAAATTTAATGGCATTTACTTATTTAACATGTATGAGGGAGGGGTGTCATGCCACAGTGCCTGCCTATGTGGAGGTCAGAGAACAGCTTTCAGGAGTCAGGTCTCTGCTTCCCCGTGTGGGTCCCAGGGATCAAACTCAAGTTGTCAGAGTTAGTGGTAACCTGGCCCCCATTTTAAACACAGAGGTACTCAGTTCGGTGGTATGAAGTACACCCACACTACAGTGAATTCATTCATTCATCCACCCATTTATTCTCCAGAAGCAGCAACTCCCCACCTTCGCCCTTGTCCCTCTCTGGGAGTCACAGCTAAGATTGTTGGTAGGTTTGGGGCTGTGCATACGGGTAAGTGGTAGGGTGCTTGCCCAGCTTTAGTTGCCAGTTGGCACAATCCAGAATCATGTGGGAAGAGTCTCCATCAGGGGCTGTCTGGATCAGGCTGGTGTGTTAGCATCTCTGTGGGGGAGGGGGTGCCTGGAGTGTTTTCATGGAGGTGGAAGACTCGCCCACTGTGGGCAGCCCTGTACCCAGGCTTCGGTCCTGGACTGTGTTACAGCAGGAAAATGAGCTGAGTAGAAAGAATGAATACATTTGTTTCTCTTGGCTCCTCATCATGGATGTCATATAATTAGCTGCCCCAACCTTCTGCCGCCTTAACTTTCCTGAATGGACGTCAATCAGAATTGTTCACTAAAATAAATGCTTTCTCCTGTAAGTTACTTTTTGTCAGAGTATTTTCATCACAGCAGCAGAAATGAGAGAAGAACAGTACATTTATAACTTTTGCTGAGAATAAATCTTTTACTAAAACATTGAAAAATGAAACTGGGTTTGAAAAAAATGAGTGTGCTACTATATAATGCAATCACTAAAACAATTTGGAGATACCACCTTGATTTGTCCTAACGCAATAGTACAGTTGCATATTTATTTATTTAGGTTTTTAAAACAGGGTCTCTCTGTGTAGTCCTAACTATCATGAATTTGCTGTGTAGACCAACCTGGCCTCAAACTCAGAAATTCAGCCACCTCTGCCTCCCAAGTGCTGGGATTAAAGATGGGTGCCACCTCTCCTGGTGCATTTAAAAAAAATAGTGGTCAAAATTTTTATTAATTATCCATAGTTCTCACTACTAAGAAAAATAATATTTATTTCCAGTAACAATGAATGCTTTCATTTTCACCAAGCAAAAATAACAAGCCAGTCCTTATTAATGCTGGTAGTAACAACTCCAAAACATAGCTAACTTGGAGACTGAGACAATTTGATGATAGAAGTAATTCTCTCTTTTGGAAACTCTAAATCCTTTCAGAGAGGACTCAAAATTTATTTAAATAAATGTAGGAAAATTTTTAATTCTAAAAATTAAAGCAACGAGTCTAAAGGGAGGTATAGTCTAAAGGGTGTGTTTTGTTTTTCTGTCCGTAGGGTTGGCTGCTGGCTAGCTTCTGGGCCAAGGTCTCAAACCCAGATCACTAGCATGCGTGGCGCTCATTCCGGCTGTGTTTGAGGAGGACGCCATCTGGTGGCAAAATGGGATAAAGCACTCCAAGGACTTCCGACGTGTAGCTGCCACACTTCATTAACTATTAACATTATAATGTGTCTGGTCAAAGATAGTCGTTGGCTAGTGAATTTATAAACAGATCCTAGAGTCTGTCATAATCCTAAACATTTCAGGAAAGTTTTTAGAGATACCAATTTTAGGGGAATCTGGTTTTGAAAGTCAGTAGCAGTCTTTAACAGCCCTCATCCCCAGATGGAGGACCACAGGAGTTCACACTAACAAAAGTCCTGAAAACCATTTCAGCCCGATGTGAGGATCATGAAAGCTGCCGTCTATCCCTTTTCTTCTTGAAGAAGCAGGGCTCCCAAACTCTAAGGTTAGAGCAGCCATTAGGTACCTCAAACACCTCGCTTCTCAGGTGTCTAGATTAACCAATAGCGTGCTGTTAGTACGAGCTACTGACCCCTGCTCTTTCGTTTGAATTAACTGGAATGCAACGCTCTCCCTTACATCACCTCAGAGCTGCTCAGCAAATGCCGTGAAACTGACTGACAGACCTTAAACCAAACAGGCTTCATAGGCAGCAAACTACCAAGATAAGTGAAAAGGAAGAATCACGAGATATTACCTCATAACACACATACTGCATACCTGGGCAACAAGAGTCTGTGTATAAGTATTCTAAAAATGACAAGAAAGTCTCTTTGGAAACGCCATACACTGGAATCAGGACACTCTTGGCTTCCATGTAATTACCATTAAACATGGCCGCCATCACTTCACATCGTGCCACCAAGATGGCCCTGTGGGCTGGCACAGCTGTTCCTGGAAGGTAAGAAAGGAAAACAAAATCAAGGAAATGCTGCAGAGCTTCCAGTGTGTCCCAGCTGGAGTCCCACCGCCCATGACAAGCCAAGCTGCAGCGCAGAATCACACCAAGTAGACAGTGGGCGTTGCTTCAGAGGTTCACAGCAGCTGAGAAACGCAGAGTTCAAAACTTGTCTTTGAACCCAATAATTTACAGATTAGACAAACATTTGTTAGTTTAGATTTCCTAAAGACCAAAGAACTGAAATATGAATTTTGCTTTGTGTGTGCATGTGTGTTTGTATGTGTGTTTTAAAGGTTTATTTATTATGTAAACAATGCTCTGTCTGCATGTATCCCTGTCGGCCAGAAGAGGGCACCAAATCTCACTATAGATGGCTGTGAGCCACCATGTGGTTGCTGGGAATTGAACTCAGGATCTCTGGAAGAGCAGCCAGTGCTCTTAACTTCTGAGCCTCTCCAGTTCACTTTGTGCTTTTAGATCAAAGCATTTATCCATCCTGGTTGGCTTGAAATACTGCCACCTGTGCCATGTTCCTCCCAGGAAACACGCCCACTGCCCTTTGTGACAAAACTCACAGAACTGCCTTGGTCAGGCTTCCAGACCCGAGAGAAACGGAAATAGCAGATGTGAGCAAGAAGTGGCCCAAGCCTCGCGGGGGAGGGCACATCTAGACCTTATGACTATTTATCACAAGGACACATTCTTCTCTAGAATAGTCACGGTTCGTGAGGCTCTCGAACCTCTCTAAATCCAAGCACAAGTGCTTCTTGTCCAAGGAAGAAAAGAGGTCCATCTAAACTCACAGATGTTTCCCAAAGCCAGCATTTCCTCAGGCTCACAAACCAACCGCTGATACTGCCAGTCGGGTCTGTGGGTTGGCACTGTGATTTGCCTAGTCACACCACAATGAGGAGCAAGGAAACAGCTGGAGAGCATCCTATCCTACCAGCAGACTCCATCTGTCCACCATCTTCCCTTTTTTGCCACAACCCTCCCAGCCAGTGTAACAGGATCATCTACCAAAAGGGTCAGCTTCCAAACTTAAGGCATGCTGGATAGATGTATAGAGACCAATTAAGAAGGAATTCAAATTGGCATTGCAATTTGCTTACAATTTTTGATGTGGGATTCCCCTCTGTATACTGTGAATGTGTTTTGTTACCATTGGTTAATAAAGAAGCTGCTTGAGCCTACTGCAGTGCAGAACAGAGCAAGGTGGGAATTCCAAGCAGAGATAGAGGAGAAAAGAAGGTGGAGTCAGGGAGATGTGATCTAGCTGCTGAAGGAAAAAGATGCCTATCGGTAGGTCACAGCCTTGTGGTGATACATGGATTAATAAAAATGGGTTAATTTAAGATGTGAGAGTTAGTTACTAAAAAGCCTAGCAGGCCAAACAGTATCTGAATTAATACAGTTTCCTTGTGATTATTTTGGGTTTGGGCAGCTGGGAACGAACAAGCAGTCTCTGACTACAGATTTTAGGGCTTAAACTAGTTCAGATAAATAGAGCATCATTTGGAGAATAGGAGCATAGCTTAAACACACTGGATGGCCTATCATTTGAGTTAAGCAGATGAATTAGGATGAAAACTATCAAGTGGGCAGTAGGCAGAGACCGATTTTATAAGCAGGGCTTGACATTTTAACAGAGCTTTCTGTTGATAATGGTACAAGACAATGTTGAAATGTAACCAGCTTCAGTACCTTCAAGCATGGTGTGTGTGTGTGTGTGTGTGTGTGTGTGTGTGTGTGCACGCACGCATGTGCAGGTACGCGTGCCTCATGTGGAAGCCAGAGGTTGACATCAAGAATCTTTTTTTTTTTTTTTAAACAGGCTCTCTGACCTGGAACTCATTTGGCTGGACTGCCCAAGCAGCCCCTGGAATCTGCTCCCTTTGCTCCCCAGTACGGAATGGCAGGTGCGGTGCAGATGTGGCGTAGGAAGAAATGTATGGTGGCTCCATGTGACGAGTAGAATGTAGTATGGAAAGTCACGGACTTTCAGCTAAGGTAAAATGATCTCACAACCCTTTAGAGAACTGTTTTGGTGTTGTGAAAATGTAACACAATACCCAACTTTGAAGAACAGCGGGTGCTGTTGATGATGCCGCCTCTCAGGCTCCTAGTTACCTGTTTTTTAAGCAGTAAATTTATACAAACACTAAAAGAATGTGATACAACATTTATATACTAAATGGCAATTGATTGCAGGTAAAGAATTGTGTAATTGTATAGAAGACATATCCATTTCATGTTATAATTTCAGAAAACTTTTCTAAGAAAAAGATCAAGGCTGGAACAATTACAAACCAGCTTCTCCTCACTTTATATAGGTCACCAACAATCTCTTTGTTGAATTGAGTGTTGAATTAAAATGTTTCCCCTATGTATCATTTCAGACTTCAACAGTCACATTTAGGAATGATGCTTGGTTTCATTCTGGGAAAGAAAACAGACAAGTTCATCTCAAGAGAAATTTAACACGTACTGTGTTAAGTAGGAAAGGAATGTGGTTTTGTTAAAGAGTGTTCCATGTAACATGGAGTCAAGTGTAAGGGAACCCTAACTTTCTACATCACACCTACATTATTTTCCAAAACTAATTTAGAACTGTTTTATCTTTATATATGACTTCATATTACACAAATAATGCTCCATGTCGGGGGTTTACATCCCACGTTCTCTCCGGGCAATTGTGGCTGTTGGCTATAGCCTGGGTTCAACAGTAAATCAGCCTAGAACCCACCAGCTTCAGCCGACACTGCACCTGGGGAGGAATGGGGCTACATTTCCATCTCTGTCAGTCCCTGTGAGCGTAACTGGAGCCCTGGCTCCTCACATGGAAATCTGAGTCCCGTTTACAGGCCAGAAGACAACAATGTTTCACATTTTGAACTGACAATGTCTGTTAAAATGTCAAGGTCACTTTTCAAACTCCTGCATTTTCTCTCCCGGTAGTTCTAGTCAACTGGAAAGGGCCGGAGACCAAAAGCAACACACGACATATAAAGTGTCCATCTCGACACAGATGCCAGCAATGTCTTTTCGGTCTCTCACTACTGCCTCAGCTAAGCACAGCAACGCCTCGGCTCTAGACCCAGGTGTTCCAATGCTCCTCATTCTTGACCTGAAAACGTCAAGAGGTGATGTCCATGACCATCTAGACATCAACTGGAGTGAAGAAGCCAAAGACTGGCTGCTATTATTGCATGAAAAAATTATTATACCTCAATAGATACAAATCTTATTCTTACATTATCTTTCTCATTACTTCTTAAATCTGTGCTAAAAATGCCGAAGTAACATCTGGCTATCACCAACACTCAATGTGACTTTTTCAAAATATGCTTTGCACTGTAAATATTTTATGTAAGATATGTAATGAAAAAGTCACATGTTTAACTAAGATTTCACTATAACATATAAAAAGTTTTATAACTAAGATTTAAGGAGAGTTGTTATCCAGCTATTACTTAAAGGGTCTGTCTTAGTTTCAATATAGATTAATTTATATATAAGAATGTTTTCCCTTCCTCATTTTGGTATGAAACATTTAAATTAGTCAGATACATATTCACAGTGCACACATTCCACAAAGTCAGATACATAGTCACACTGCACACAGCCACTTCCATCAAAACAAAATAACACCCTAAACAAACAAATGAACGAATGAAACCAAGAACCAGTCAATAGGACTGAGAGGTGTTTCTGTTCATAAAGTGCTTCTTGTGAAAGTTTAAGACTTGAGCACAAACCCTACAGCCAAAATAAAACAAGTGGACATTGTAGCACAAGCCTGCCGTCCTACCAGGGCCGGGGAGGTGGCAACAGAAAGAACTCTGGGGGACAATTTCCCAGTGAGTCTATCCTAAGCAAGTCCCAGGTCCCAGCGAAAGAATTTGTCTCAAAAAACAAGTTGCTAGAAAATAGAAACAACCTAAAGATCCCACAACTGTCAAATGGATAATGAAAATGAGGTGCATACTATGGAATATTATTCAGCTGTGAAGAAAGATGAAACCATGAACTTTGCAGGTAAACGGAAGGAACTAGAAAGGATCATACTGAGCAAGGTAATCCAGATCAAGAAGGACAAACACTGCATGCTGTCTTTCAGTGAAGGCTCCAACTCCAAATCTTCAGATGTGAATACATAGCCTGTAGTTACTAAAGAAACCAGGAAAATAAAGCTGGATTGTTGTCAAGACGGTTACAGGAAAAGTGGAGGATCTTTAGGAAAGGGGAGGGAAGTAAATACAGAAGCTGGAGAGAGATGGGTAAAATTACAATAAGGATGTCTGAAGAAGCCACAAGATATCATATTGTTATTTAACTGAAAAAAAAAGGAACCTCTAATACATGCAATTCTGTGTATAAATATACATATATAGCCTTCATGAACTTTTCTCATCTGGCTGAGGGTGCTCCTTCCAAGAACCAAAGATCATCTAACAGACCCCATACCAGTCATGAGGGCCAAAGATCATCTAACAGAACCCCATACCAGTCATGAGAAGCTCTCTTCTGAGTTGTTGGCCAGGACTGTAAAAAAGCCTCCAGAAACACATAGCTTATTATTGCAACATGCAACCTTCCAGGGGAGGGAGGCAGCCAACAGTCTCGCCCAGCTATGAGGTCTATGAGCCACAGCAATGACCAGTAAGACACAATGATCCTAATAGTGCAGAGGTGGATGTATACCTTGAGAAAACCCAAAAATTCTCTAATTGGATTTAAGAACTGATCAACAAGAAAGAAACCATGCCTGGTACTGGAAATCTAGCTCACTACGCAGGACTGGTGCAGTCATGGTTACTGGAGGAAAATCTACAGCCGTAACCTACTAAAGCAGCACAATCCCTGACAGTAACCTATAAACACTTGTCATTACACCTACAGATGAGTGCAGTCCTCACTTCTCATCAAGGGGACATCTCCAGCAGATGGGAGTAGTACAGAAACACAGCCAACCAAAACAGAGCAAACTAACAAGCAAAAACCAAAGTGAGGATTATGAGATGGGTCAGTGGGGAGAGGGTTTGCCGTCAACCCTAACAACCTGCGCTCATTCCCTGGAGCCCATGTAGCAGAAGGAAAGAGCCAATTCCCACAGGTTGTCTTCTGACCTCCACATGACTGCCAGGGCATGCACATCTCACACCCCAAGTAGTTAATTAATTAATTAATAAGAAAATAAATGTAACTTTCAAAAAGGGGAGTGGCCTGAAGTTGTGTACAGCTGGAGCCCTCACACACATGGGTGAGTGGGCAGGGGCAGGTGGAGAGGGTCAGGAAGTGACACAGCAGAAGAAAAGCAAGGGATTAAATGGGGCAAGAGTCTCTATTTCCCACGTGTTGCGTATTTCCTTCAAAGCCCTGCACAGCAGGTTACACTGACAGAAAGCTCAGTGCGCATGCTAACTGTAAGCAGCAAGAATGTCTGCTGTGCAAACATGGGAGCTGTTCCAGTGCAGCGGAAGAGCAAGGCAGGAATGGAGCTGGAGACACAGATGGCTCAGCCAGGCCAGAGCTCTGGTTCCCAGCACCCACATGTCACAAACGGCTGTCATTCTAGTCCCATGGGGTCTGATGCTCTTCCAGCTTCTGCAGGCCTAGAGGTCAGTGAAACTTCAACTAAAGAGACCGAGGCAACTTAAGGGGGAAAAAGAGAGACAGCCAAAAATGACTAGAATCTGACCATAGCTTAAGAAATGAATTTCATGGCCAGGTGGGGTGGTACATGCCTTTAATTCCAGCATGTGGGAGGCAGAAGCATGCAGATCTCTGTAAGTTCAAGGCCAGGTTGATCGATAATGTGAGAGTTCCAGGATAGCCAGAGCTACATAGTGAGACCCTGTCATAAATACATACACACTACATACATACATAATGCAACAAAAGAACGCCAGGCTAACTGCACTGTGTGTGACATCAAATACTGTGCAGGTGGCAAGAAGCAGACTCACCCTGGCCCCTGGACTGTTGGCGAGCAGTGCCCCAGAGACCCACAGTGTACAACCTACTTACACACGGGTCTTGAAAGGCATTTCAGAACATACCTCCGCCCAGACGCAGGAACAATGCTTGTATGTCCACCGCACACACGTCAGATAATCCCACAACACGTTTAACCCCTAATAAAAAGCCTACCCTACGTTGTCGTGTGACCCTAGGACTTTTGGAAGTTTATCTTTCAGTGTCTGCTCAGCATAAAATTCATCAACTGTATATCACAGATGTGGCTAAAGTCAGACCTCGGCCACCAATTAGAAGTCATGTGGGCAAGAGCCTCAGTTACCCTCCTTCGGAAGACAGAAACTGTTATTCTAGCTTTCAAAAAACGGACTTGAGACTATTAATTCGGTAAAGGTAGGAATACTTTTTAATTTATAGGTTAAATTTTTTCTTAACCGTGGATGTAGTGCTTTCATTTGGAATGTGAAGCTTCTTAGCTAGCGATCCTAGAGTTTCTCTGGTGTCTGGAACACCCAGGCGCTTCCCACAAATGCCTTCATCAACAGCATTCCCCTATGAGTAAATTCTGTGATTCCCACTGGCTGGTCCTCTAAGAAGCCTTTCCTCCCCTACAGTGAGACACCTTGGACTTTTCATGTTGGCAATCAATGTGAGCGGAGCACTACCACGGTCTGGTTAGTCAGCTGCAGGCCTTCTAACCTGAGGAGAGCGTTGCAAATTAGCCTATGGCAGTTTTGTGGCTACCCCCTCCCAACCAAAAGTTTTAAATGTGTCTCAAGGTCACTCTAACTCTCGCACTTTCGGAGTTCCAGACTCACACTGCATTCGATGCTGCCAACAGAACTTTGGGAAAAAATCCAATTCACTAGTTTTATTGACATACGACCAAAATTAAAAGTAAGGAGACTCTTTCTAGGGAAAGATTAAAAAATAAAGGCTATGCTAGCTGCCTCATATGTCTAACTCCAAATTAGAATTCCATCTCCCTCTTCACAATAGTCCATCTAAAAATTCTACTTAACTTATTTGCAAACGACCCCTCTTATCCTTGCATAATTGAAGTCTCTGACAACTCATCTTTAAGATTATGCATTCAGTCTATTAAAGGGACAGAATTAAACATGCAAGTAATCTGTACTGGGCTTCCAGGACAGCTCATCTTTATTAAAGATGGGCAGCATGACTTTCCACAGAGAGAAGTGTACTTCAGGTGCTCTGGTGATAAGAATTCTCACAGTATTTCGAGACACATTCAGCAATAACTGTGGGTGCCTGATGTAGGTCAGATAATTAAAAAAAAACTGAATAAACAAAGCAAGAGATAATGTGTTTTTATGATAGATGACTTCAAATGAATTAGAAAACAGTATCATAAAGAAATACACAAATTAAAATGAAAAATAACACATTAAAGATCATTCCATGCCCTGCAGATCCTGAAAAGTAGATGAAGCATGTGGAGGGGAAAACTAAGGAAATAGAAATTCCTTTACTTAGTTTATGAAATGACTTTTCTAACGCTAAGATGGCGTTACTTCATGTCCTGCAGCAGGAAGCACTAACCCTCCGTCCCAAGTATTTAAAGTTGAACGAGAATGCGAGGGAAGTAAAAACCAAAACCATAAAATGCACTCTGTATGAGCTGAGCCACACCTTGTATTTCGAAGACAACATCGGCAAGCATTGGTTTATTGAGGAAAAACTTGAGTGACGTATTATAGAACCACAGAGGCTTTCTGGCTTGGTAGGTCTTGCAATTCCTCAGGCAACTGATCTATGAGGAGAAAACAGACATGTAGGGAGAAGCTGTTTAGTCTGACTTGATAGCACACATGGAAAACTGCAGATAAGAAATCTCGGCTGCCTGCCTCATGATGGCACCTCCAACCACCTCTGTGAAGGGTGCTTCCCCTCAAGCACTGTGTCTGCTGGCTGGTGGGTGAGCAGCAGCAGGTCAGCAGCAGGCCGCTGAGCACACAGCACAGGAACTGGCTAAGCGGTGGCCAGGGATCCTGACTCCCTGAGAACCGCTAATACAACAGGAATAAATCTTTATTTCTTTATCACACAAGTTCTCTTATGGCCAAGCAGGTCATTGTTTTCTCCTAAAGAATGAACATTTAAAAAAATCTCAGAGTGGTGAATTTAGATTTGAATACAATTTTCTAATGATAACTATCTTTTGTTTTCTTTTGTTTGTTAGTATTGTTGTTGCTGGTGTGTGTGCATGTGCGTGTGCGTATGCGTGTGCGTGTGTGTGTGTGTGTGTGTGTACAGCACAGACAACAGGAACCTATAGATAGCCCACATCACACGACCACCCGCCAGCCCAGCTCCTAGCCTCTTCTTATAGTGCCTCCACCCACCTCAGCTTCATCACTTGGTTCATTTGCTGAGGTTCTCCAGACAGCCCTTGGTGGTCACTATCCGAGAGGCCCAAGGCCCCTTTTTCCTCGCCTCCATCTTTTTCTTTTATATTTTCTCTAATCTTCCTTTACAATGAAATGAAACAAATCTTAACAGCATTTTCAAGTAGAGTTGCCCCAATTAGGCTACAATCTTAAATTGTATGACCACAGTCCCTCAGTTGGAATGATTTAGTTATGGCTCTATCTGAAATTATTTTTACTTTTTTTTTTTTTTGAGACAGTTTCTTTGTGTAATTCTGACTATCTTGGAACTAGAACTAGCTTTTCAGATCAGGCTGGCCTCAAACTTAGAGATCCACCTGCTTCTGTCTCCAGAGTGCTGGGATTAAAGGCATGCGACACCACTGCCCGGTTGTTTACTTACTCTTGGTGACTCCATCAGTTCCCTGGCTGTATTTCCGACCAGCTAGGGAAATGAGGAGCCTTTATCCTTCAAAAGTCACCAAGACAATCCAGCAATAAGAATAAGTGATACCTAATTGTCTACCTTGGGCTAGTCTACTTTGGAGGGAAGTTTCCAAAATTTTGTGAAGGAGGAAAATGATACAATCCTCTTGACAAGGAAAAAAGAAAGCCCAGTCCAGCTTGAAATCCAGAAGCAAGACAGAAGGGCAGAAAGCAAAGGACCTGGTCCACCAGTTGAAGATCTCAGCACTGCGCCACAACACCCACTGGAGGAGCTGGTGTTTAGGATGCAAGTGACTGACACATGTAGGGAGTGGCCGCCAAAACCCAGCCCGGAATTAGAGAGCTAGCAGGGCCTTGGAGTATATCTTGTTTTATGCGCAGTCTGAAAGAAAAGGCTGGACTGCTCAAAACTGCAGTAACAATTTGTGGGATACTCACAATTTAAATCCACACTCCCATCCGCCAACACAGTGTTACATTCCTAGGACACATTTGAGAAACAGCAAGTGTGTAACGTGGAAGCGGCCTCCCACCTGTGCAGGGGAAATTAGTTCCTCTCATGGAACCCCACAGGCCAGGCTTCTCATCACTAGTCCGAGTTGACATTACTCTCAGTACCACAAAGGGCCGAGTGCCAAATCAGACCCAAGGAAAAGATGGGTTCAAACACCGCAAGACTCTGAATATTTCATGTAGATAAGGGTTCTAAAGTTGCACATCCTGGATCTTATAGAGATATACACCACGTATGAAGTACGTGTGTGTGATAGAGATGGAGAGAGAGACATTTCCCTGGTTCATCAACTCATCAGATGGTCTGAATACAGAGAATACATATGTGCATCCTTTTTTACAGGATTGTTCAGCTGAGTTAGGTTGAAAGAGAGCTATTAACCTTCTGATTCCTGTAAGGCTGGTCAGCCTGGGATTACCTGCTGCATTGAGTTACTACACCCCTTAATTCTATGTTTCTCTGTTAATTTCTTTCTCAACTAAGGAAAATTAAGAACCTTCATGAAAAGCTAGTGCAAGCCAGGTGTGGTTGTACAGTCTTAATCCCAGCACCAGGGAAGCTAAGGTAGAAAGCTACCAGTTTGTAGAAAGCTACACAGAGTTTGAAGCTGGCCTACTATAAAATGAGTCACTGCAGCAGCAACAACAACAGCAAAAAAATTAGAACAAAACAAAACAAAACAAAAAACAGAAAGCGGAGGCGGGGGGGGGGGCAGAGAAATGGCTCACCGAGTAAAGTACTTTCTGTCTGTGTGACCCCTGGGGCCCCCACAGGAGAAGGAAGAACCCGCGCCTACAGACTGTCCTCTCAGCTCCACATGTGCTCTCTGGCACATACAACTGTGTACACAACTTTTAAACATGAGAAGAAATGAAAAACTAATACAGCTCATATTTTTTAACTATTAACTTTAAATGTTATTAATGTTCAGTCATCTGTTAAAAATAAAGGAATATTTGCCTTATATTTTGCTAAGCATTGCGCTCAGCTGAACCTTATTTTATCTACTGTAGCCAGTTTGCTTATCACAGAATCCGAAATAAGAATAAACTGGCTAGACTGTGCAATACAGCTGTCTGAAAGTTTTACAAATCTACCTTTAAAACTTTTACAGACTCTGTATAATCTAAATCACTGCAGTTTTATTGTCTTACAACTTCAGTATTTTCATAACCTTGAACCCAGTTTGTAATCTTGAATATGTGTACTCAAGAGACTCCTCAACTGCCCATTTGGTTAAATATATTGCTCAGAATGCTTTAAAAGTTCACAGGAACAGCCCTACTCCCCAAGGCTCCTGGAGAGTCACATGGTGTGAGGATGGGCCCCTCCTGGAGGCAGCTGCAGCTGCAGGAGCCCAGCAGCTCTCATTCCCAACATGGGCTGAGTATTCCCAGGGCCCCAGTGGGCTGTTGTGAAAGCGAACATTTCAAAGGCATGAGTCACACCTAATTTAATCCTTACATAAATTAAAATCTTAGTAAGAAATACATGTTTCTGTTTAGATATTTAAACAGAAACATATACACAGAAAAAGCATTTCTATTTATGAATTATTTAACTTTGCTAATGACTCAATGTTATAGTATCAAAATGTATCTGTTATAATTCAGAGTCAAAGTAATTTACCTTTCCTGGTGTTTTTAAAAGGCATTTAACTTTCTCGATCACATCGCAAACATCCCCCGAGTCGTTCAGCCTCCTCCTGATGTCTTCTTCCAGCTCTTCCCACTGAAAAGCACCTGGAAGGAACCACACATCAGAAAGTCCAATGTGAGCAGGAGATGTGAAAAGCTTCTAGATTACCAACGCTTCCTTCTTTCGTATTTAATTTCTCTGGAGCAAACATATCTCTTTACAATTGAAGTATGTGTTTAACAAGTTAGTTTGACTTCCTCTAATCCAATGGTTCTCAACCTGTGTGGGTCATGACCCCTTTGGGGTCCAACAACCCTTCCACAGGGGTCGTCCAAGACAATCAGAAAACACAGATATTTACATAATGATTTATACAGTAGTAAAATTACAGTTATGAAATAACAAGGAAAATAATACTATAGTTGGGGGTCACCACAACATGAGGAACTGTACTGAAGGCCACAGCATTAGGAAGGTTAGGAGCCACTGTTGGGAACAGGCTTCCTCCTTGGCAGTCGCCATTTCTGCAGCAGGTGTTCAGCTGGCAGCACTAGCCAGGATGAGTTTCTGTGAAAAGTGATCTGCTTTCAGGAAGACGGTCAGTATGGCTTTTCCCACACTGAATGCCTTCACCCCTAATGGAGAGGGAAGGCCTCCACTGGTCTGGAAAGCTGCCCTGCAGACACACATTCAGAAGGCCACATGCACTCTGAGACTCAGATGAGCTGTCTACCCTGGAACTCTCCAGAACTAACCTGAGAAAGGCAGTGAGGGGTTTTCTGACACACTCATCCTCAGAGCCCACAGCAGCAGCAGGCCTTCTCCTGAGCTATCTCCATCCTGGCCACCTGCACAGCCGCTCTTCTGCCCACCGCCTTTCCTCCAATTCTGTTTTATGCTGAGCAAAAGATGATCTTTACTCAAAATGCTCCTCTCCTTGGCCTAAGCACTTTCCTGCCCAATCTCCCTGCTTCCAAAGACCTTTCATCCTTGGGATCATCCTATTATTCAAGCTAAAATTTCAAAATTATTATTTCTGCTCACGATGTTCCAAGGAGTCTTAGTTACTGTTCTACTGCTCTGAAAACCAAGGCAACACTTACAAAAGAAAGTGTGTAATTAGGGTTTACCTATAGTTTCAGAGGTTTAGTTCATTATCATCGTGGTGGGCAGCATGGCAGTATGCATGGTGCTGGACAGAGCTGAGAACCACATCCTGACCTGCAGTCAGGCAGGCAAAGAAAGAGAAGCCTGGGCCTGGTGTGGCTTTGGAAACTCCAAATCCCATGCCCACTGGCACACGTCCTCCAACAAGGCCACACCTCCTAATCCTTCTAATCTTTTCAAACATTTCCACTCCCTGGTGACTATGCATTCAAATATATGAGTCTATGGAGGCTATTCTAATTCACTCCATCACATAAGGGATCACCTTCATCCTTCCATGACTTACAGTAGGACAAACTCCTAAAAATAAAATTAAAACAATATACCGTGGACAGGCAAGTAAGGAGGTTCACGTTCCAGCTTGATCTCTGCCATTAACACTTGGATGACTTCAAGGAAGTCATCCCACCTGTCTGAGGGGTGATCAGGACCCTTTGACATCTGCTCCTAATCTTGCCCTGGTTCATCCCTACCTATCTCCATCATTCTGCAGATGCCCTCATGATTGAGACTGAGAACTGAGCAAGGCATATAACTCACACTGAATCCAATGAGATCAGTGAGCTTCTACCAGTGAGAGCCAAGTCTAACGAGAAGAGCCATAGGCTCTCGAACCCAGAAGCTCAGGACCCCTGACACTTGTTTCTTATTTTTTTTAAAGATTGGTTTGTTTTTATGTGTATAAATATTTGAATACATGTTTGTAAGTGAATTACACGTGTGCAGTGCTTGAAGAAATCAAATGAGGGTGTCAGATCCCCTGGAACTGTAGTTAGTCAGTTGCTAGACATCCCATGGGTCCCGGGAATGGAACCTAGGTCCTCTGAAAGTGCCCTGAACCACCAAGTCGTCTCTCCAGTCCAGGCACCTCAGCGTTCCTGAGCGCTCTCACCTCTTCTCTCTCTCTCACTCCAGTTTCGGGGCATTTGCCATTTTCATCCTGTTGAGACTAACAGCAAAGCCAAATCTGAGCTGATGACATGCAATCACAGATCTTGGAATTGGAAATTGTAAACACAGTAGCCTTGCTCCCACAGGTGCTGGTCTGACTCCAGCTCACCACTGCCCTTCCACCTGTGACAACTCTCCTATTCTGACTTCCCTGCTGGGTCACCTTCCTTTCCATGCTCCAGAAGAATGAGTTGCTAAAACCTGCCCCCCTTTTTTATATCAGTGATTTTTAACTGGGCACACACATTCTTTCCACAGTCTTACAAATTCTTTGATCATCTTTCCAGAAAACCTCCGATGCACACATAAGATAAAAGTCCTGCATAACAATGTCAGGACCTTTGCATTAAAATGTGATTATGTGGTGCCTATCCCTAGTCATTGATACTATAGAAAGAGGATGCCAAAAGGTTTTCCCTGTATTTGAAAGGTTCATTCCTTCCTGTCCTTGCTAAATCTTGGTGCTTCTGAACACAGTTTTCTTCTCACAGCCGCTTAGTCTCCTGGCTGCTGACACCAGGCTCACTGAGTATCCTCTGCCAGTGCTGGGCAGTGTCCT